GCGAGAGAGGGAACACAAGCAGGGGGAGTGGGAGAGGGAGAAGCAGGCTTCCTGCTGAGCAGGGAGCCCGATGTGGGGCTCGATCCCAGGACCCTGGTGTCATGACCTGAGCCGAAGACAGACGCTTAACGACAGAGCCACCCAGGCACCCCAAGATGAATTTTTTTTTTAAATGAAGATATTTCCTCCAAACCGAATGCATCATCCACAAAGACAGAGAATTGCCACTTTTAAAGAGTTGACGAGGCCATGCAAATTAAAGTATAATCAGAAACCACCAGAAGTTTTAAGTTGTATGCAAATGTGCAGGACCAGATTGTGAATTAATCTCTGTCAGAGCCATTTTCCTTTGAGATGGACCTTTCCTATTTCCCCACTACCAATGTCTTTAGTGTTGAGGCTGTGTGTTTAGAGACCAGGAGCCTGGGAGCTGCAGGGCCTCCCTGGAGCCAGAGTAATGGGTAGGAAACCAGCGCCTCCCAGGTGAGTCCCAAGAGCCACCTCGTGGCCCACGAAGTAACACAACGCAGGGGAACACCAGGAGCAGAAAGCTTTTAACTACTCGGTCAGCTGCACACACCTCCAACCTGCTCACCAAGAAGTGGGCCCCAGGTGCCCAGTGACCCGCAACATTAGGGGGAAACAGTAAGAGTCCTGTTTACTCACCACATCTTCTTTAACGAAGTCACGTCTATTCAGTCCCAGGCCTTGCTTTTTGTTCTCGTGGGGGATTAGGGTCCGAGGGCAGGTGCAGCTCTCTTAGAACCATGGAAACTCTTCCACCGGGCAGTTGTTTTCCCATAATCGATGCTTCCCCTGTGGTAAGTTAAAAGAAAAGCAATGTGTGCAGCCTCTCATTTGATGTTTTCTTACCAGGACAGAATGGTGTTGCTCATCTTGGGGAATCTGTTTAACGGGTCCTTGTAAGTAGCCTTAGGAAGACACGTCTTTTCTCTTTGCTGATGTCTGTAACACTGTGGTTTCGCTTTCCTTGGCCGTCATTTTTATAAAGAAATCTGAAACTAAGGTGAGTGTAGGACTGTGCTTGCCCTAGGGACTTGAAAGAAAGGTATTTTTCCTCCTGCAAAGAATGCACTAGGAAGCCTAGTGTACCGACAGTGGCCTCTCCTCAAACGTTGAGTTCAGCTCATTGCATTGATGCATTGCGTTCATTTGCTCAACAAGACCAACATCAAATTTGTTATCTATGTCAACAGACTACATAGATAGTTAGATAATAGAGATTATGCCAGTAGGTGCACAAATGAAGCATAGTTTTAAATTCTTGTGAACTCTCCATAAACGCTACCCAGTAGACATTTCCCTTTCTTACTAAGTGTGGGTGTGGGTGTGGGTGTATGTGTGTGTGTACAAGTCTCTTTCCTATTTATTTCTTTCCCTGTAGGTCTCAATCTTCCTACGACCCCAATATCCTTCTTCTTCCTCTTTCCCTTCATTATCACCTTGGCTTTTTTTCTTCAAATGGCTTCAAAATAGAACAGTACAATAGACATATATTTTGCTATCTCTAACTATTTTATACAACCTGTTCTCAACTTTAAAATGTGAGTAAGTGAGATATTTTATTAATCCCTAAAAAAAAATCAGTAAGTTTAGTTGCTTTTATTCATGCTCTTAGCTGATGTACTATAAAGGTTAGCGACCTTTGATGGAAAGATGACTCCATACCCCTGCCCCCCTTTAAGACATGAAAGGAATGGAAGAAGAGGCACACCTTCAGGGGAAGCCAGAATCTGGTCATGAGAACTTGAATCTTATTTGGGGCATATGCTTCTGGAAAAGTCTTCCCATAGTGTTGTCACCCAGGGATGACTCCGGGTAAGGTCCACACCTGTGAAGGACCCCTCCTTTACATAGGGATACGTCAGGGTGGGTGATTCTTGGCAGTGCTCACCTGTGGTGCTCTTCTTGACCACTCTTTGAGGGCAGACCCCACAGTCCTGATGACCGTAAGACTGGGGGCTGGTAGGAGGAAAGGGACCAGCTGCTTGATGATGAGCCACCAACACCCATGTCCCCAGTGCTCACAATCACCTGGCTTGTCCCTGCCTCTCATGTAACCAAAACCAAACCCATCATCTGCTCACAAGACAAGGTGAATGGCCTCTCTTTTCTTATACAGGAGCTCCTTGGGCATCCAGGCCTGCAGGGATGAATGAGGTGTGATGACACACCAACACTGTGATGGCCTGGGAGGGGGTTACCTTCCTCTTTGTTCCTCCATCCTCAGTTTCTCCTGGACATTACAAGACAGGGAGTGATTTAATATGAACCTTGAATGTTATTTTAAAAGGAATCACTCTCATACAGTCACGAAGAAGAATGGTGTGTGTGTGTGTACACATATAGAGAGATGTCCGTATACATATGTAGGTACACACACACAGAGAATGAGAGAGAGGTAACCAAATGTGGCAAATGCTAATAATGGATGAATCTCAGTGAAAAGCTTACAAGAGTTTTGGTACATTGAAGAATTCAAATTCTGGGAGGAGGAAATTTCCTGTATTATATAGAACAAAGTTGGTTGGAATACAAAGTGAACAAAAAGAGAGTCCATTAATAACAGCTTTACATTTCAAATACTTAGGAATAAACTTTGAGAGACAGGAGGACTCTTTCTGCAGAAAATTTAATTCCCTCATTAGGAGACAAAAAGGAAAAGTTAACTGAACGAAGAGAGATGTTGTGCCCTGGGTGGGAAGATTAACTGTTGTAAAGATATTAGTTCTCAAGTTAATGCATAAATTTTGACTTAAAATTGGAATTAATAGGATTTTATTCTGAAATTATTTTCCTACTTAGCACAAAATTTCCAAAGGTCTCACAAAAGAAGATTAATGGAAGGAAGGGCAGAGGAGGACAGTGACTAGTCCAGTTTTATCCAACAGAACTTTCTGGAATGATATAAATCTTCTACACGGCATTGTCCCTTATGGTAGCTATTAGCCAAATATCATTACTAAACATTTGAAATGTGGCTAGTGTGACTGAGGCACTGAATTTTCAATTTTATTTAATTTTCATTTATTTAAATTTAATGGCCACATGTAGCTACCATATTGGGTAGTACAAGCTAGCCTAACCAGATAATCTAACATATTCTAAAATAATAACACAGTGACCCAAAATTAGCAATTAGAAACAAATTAGTGAAGCAGCATGGAGAGGATAGAAATCCAACTATGTATGTGCGTGTGTCTATATTTATTAAAAACAAGCTTTTCAAAACAAGGACATAGGAAGGGTTCTATAATAAAGAGTTTTATTGTAACTGAATAGAAATTTGGAACATGCTAAATGCTAATGCTAAACCCCAATCAAAATAAACTTTGGTATTAATTTAAAAACCATAGACAGCTAGCAAAAATTTGATAATGTGTGTCCAGCCAACTTTTGAGATAATTCTACTTCTAGTAATCTAGTCTCATGAATTAATCTTAAATGCCAAAAAAAAAGAGAAAAGAAAAGCACGCTATGTCTGAAGGTATTCATTTATTCATTGCAGTGTTCTTTAGAATAATGAAAAGCTGCAAGACATCTAGAGAGGAAAGATGATTGTGGTACATCCACTTATGGGAACTTTACAACCATCAAAAATGCCAGGTCTGAAGGAGGTGTAGTAATTTACATAGGTTAAAGTTTTTTTGAATTCCCCTCCTCCCCAAAATACAAGTGGGGAGTGAAGCAGCCAAGAATGTTACAAATCCACCTTTATGCCTACGAAGTCATTCCTCCTTACCCTCAGCGCGCTCTATGGACTGATCTATCGGCCCAGGGACTTTGCTTCCTACATGCTGGGGATCTTCATCTGTAACCTGCTGCTCTATCTGGCCTTTTACATCATCATGAAGGTAAGAGTGGGCGCTGGGGGCCCCCCACCGGCAGCCCGGGGCCCTGCACAAGCCGTACCCCAGCGTGGCGACATCTGCTTCCCACCCACAGCTTCGCAGCTCAGAGAAGCTCCTCCCGACCCCGCTCCTCTGCATCGTGGCCACTGTTGTGATGTGGGCCACCTCGCTGTACTTTTTCTTCCAGAAACCCAGCAGCTGGGAGGTAAGAAGGCAGTTTTCTTTGCAAAGAAAATGTTCTCCCTCCATCTTGCCTTTCGGACCTTCCTACCTCCCTCTCTTCGAGTGCGTGTGGCTGTTTGTCTTTGAAATGAAAGCTTTCTCTAAAAGGGATGGTATTTCCTATCCATGCATAAACGGCACGCGGTCCTCACCGTCAGGGCAGCGCCTCGTCGACGTGGGGGCCCTCCAGACGCGGCAGAATTGACCTTCACTATGTGTTGTAGGACGATCCTCCCCCCGGTGGATGTTTAACGTGTGCAAAAACCTTGATGCGTGTGTGTTCTTCTCATAATCCACATCCATAAACAGATCCCCAGCTGCCGGTGTTTATAAACCTGCGGCATAGAGAAGAGAGCTGAGGCCTAGGAAACCAGGGCTATACCCAGGAGCAAACAGGAAGCCTCAGCTCTCCACCGCCACAATCAATCAACTAGAACATTTTCATCACTCCAGAAAGCAAGCCTGCGCCCATTAGCCGTCGCTCCCCACTTCTCCCTCACGCCTTAGCCATAGGCAACCACTAGTCTCTCTTCTGTCTCTGTAGCTCTGCCTGTTCTGAACATTTCATATCCATGGGCCATACAGCATGTGCCTTTGAGTCTGGCTTAGGCATTCATCCATGGGGTAGCACGTATCCATAGCCATCTCTTTTTACTGCTGAATAACACTCCGTTGTGTGGAGACAGCACTTCTCCTCTATAATCAGCTGATGGACTTTTGGATTGTGTCCGCTCTTTGGCTCTTACGAACGCTGCCGCGGTGAACATCATGTACAAGTTTTCACGTGGACTCAGGTTTTCTTGGAAGCTCGCTTTTGGAGCCAGGCATCTAATCTAGTAGCCTTTTTGTAGCTTTCTGGACGTTCAGCCCTCTAAACAGTTGAACTGTGGGAATGCTCACTCACGTCCTGCCTCGCCTTCCTCCAGGACACCCCAGCTGAGTCCCGGGAGAGGAACCGGGAGTGTATCCTGCTGGATTTCTTTGATGACCATGACATCTGGCACTTCCTCTCTGCCACTGCCCTGTTTTTCTCATTCTTGGTGAGTTTATAAATACCTTTTTTTTTTTTTAAGAAATATACACTTTTAAAAAAGATTTTATTCATTTATTTGAGAGAGAGTGAGCGAGAGAGAAATGGAGCAGGGGGGAGAGGCAGAGGGAGAGGGAGAAGCAGACTCCCTGCTGAGCAGGGAGCCCAACTCGGGACTCAATCCCAGGACCCTGAGATCATGACCTGAGTTGAAGGCAGATGTTTAATTTTCTGAGCCACCCAGGCACCCCTAAAAATACCTTTTTGTTAATTTCTTCTTTCTTCACATCCCATACTTTTTTTTTCTTTTTTCCCCTCTTCCTTACCCTTTTGTATTTCTCTTGAACTTCCCTTTCTGATTCCTCAGTGTAATTCAATACACAGACTATTTTACTTCTTCTCCTTCAGTTAGATCTTTATTTTGGTTTTCCTTTTACTCTCCAATATTTTAAGACAGAGAGACAAAATGATTTTTCTTAAATGGCACAACGCCTGGGCTGAATTGGTTGTTAGAACTCACATGCCCTGAATCGCCCCAGGAATCACTTTTGGCATTCACTCACATTTGGGTAACATACTTGTGCTACCCTCACATTCCTCCTCCTCTTCCAGTCTCAATGAATATCTTACAGATATTTTACAAATTCCTAGAGCTCTCGGGAGATCCGCCCGGGCCCCTCTGCTGCTTCTCACCCAGTCGGCCCCAGATCTCTCCTGAAATCCCTCCATTTCTTTTGGCTCAAACACCTTTCCAGAAGCTATGCACGGCCTAACAACCTTGAATGATCACTCCTGGCATCCCTTCATCCTCACTTAGAGACTTTTCCAAATTAAAAGTCTGCGATGCCTGGACACGGATTCAGCTGGCAAGTAACAACGCGGCGAGACCTGTGCTCCCTGCGCTGCCGCTGCTCAGCCTCGAGAGTGGAGCGGGGCTGCCCCCTCGTGACCATCCGGGGAAGCTCAACAATCCTCCTAAACCTCGTTCCTCGTGACTTTTATTTCTGATGAACACTTTCATTAGAGAGACAGACAGCAAAAGGGGAGTGAAAGTTTCCACGTGAAGAGAGTGGTGGTAGAGGGAACTAAAAATGGAGGAGGGGGTGTGCATTTCTTGTATAGCAATACTCTACGCAACAAGACTTCCTTTCCTCTAGATCTTAAGCCCAATGTCCCCTTCTAAGTTATGACTTCCCTGGCCACCCTATCAGCACTTTTTTACCTTTCCCCAGCCCATACTTCCTGTGCTCCCTCCATAGTCTAATTTTCGTTACTGTTTTTATTACGTGTTATTACCTCGTACACTGTACTTAGCACACCTCACTAGCATGCTACACGTATTTGCTCATGTCTGAAGCTGTCTCTCAAATGTAAGCTCCAGGACGGTAGGGAGTTTTGTCTCTTGTGTTCCAAACTGTATCTCTGGCATTTAGAATAGCACATAATAGACCCTTGATAAACATTTGAATTAATTAATACGTGAACTATGTAATCCTAATAATCGCCTGTAGGGAGCGCTGCGTTGCAGAAAGCTGTAGGGGACAGAAAGGCAAGTAAGGGCGCCGGTCGCGTCAGCCTGTGTGAGTCTCAGGGAGAAAGTAGCGGCTGACCCTGGCTTCATCTCTCTGTCCCTCTCGTTCCAGGTTCTGTTAACCCTGGATGATGACCTGGATGTGGTCCACAGAGACCAGATCCCTGTCTTCTGAGCCTCCAGCTTTAAGAGAGGGAGAGGGAGCAGTCGATCTAGGTGCTGTTTCATGAAAATACAGGGACCAAAAAAAAAAAAAAAAAATACAGGGACTGCCGCAAAGTCACCACTGCCAAGTACTCCACTCCCGCTCTGTCAAGTCAGCTCTGCACACATTTCCATAGGAAGGAGAGGGGCTGGAGGGAGACTCTAGTCTGCCAGAAGGGGGGCAGAGGGGAAGCCACGGGTATGGCCAGAGGCAAGCCCTGAAGAGTCAAGAGACCCCCATCCCCTCCCGTGTGCAGCCCTGAGCTAGACGTGGACAAAAGCTGCATCAAAGTCAACTCACTGTCTCGAGACCCCTCCCACCCTCACCCGACATTTGCCAGCAAGGGCAGGCGACGCTGCACGCTTCATCCAGCTGCCTCCAGGCCCCGAGAGGCCAGCAGCTTGGGTCTCCTGCCCACTTTAGGGGGGGCCCCTCTGCACCTCCACTACATCTGCTGCTCTAGACATCCCAGAGCACCAGCTCGCTCCTCTGAGGTCCAGGGATGACGCAGATTCCTCAGAGTCTGCTGGAGGGCTGAACCCAACCCCCTACCCAACTGGGATAGATATTTTAGCAGGACCAGCCAGTCACCTCCTTGGAAGGAAGGCTGTATGTGTCCCCCAGGTTCCTGACCCCATTAGAAGGGCTGTGGATTGGGCTTTGTCACACACTTGTCCTCACAGGTGACTGTCTCTGGGACCAAGGCTTGGGTGCTTACCTACTTCTTAGTGTCTTCATCTCACCCCTGTGGGCTGACCCCACAACTCAGGCTCCGCTTTCTTGGGAAGGCCCTGTTACCGCCTCAGCTCCAAGGCAGAAGGGGAAACAGGAAAAACTCTTCTAGCAGCAGGAGTGAGAGGAACGACCAACAGGGCTGACAGACTGGCAACATCAGAATCAAGCAAACAGACCTCACCCTAAGGACATGGGCTCCTGGGGCAAATGCAGCAAAGGCGAAATTGCTTCCTCATGCCTCCAATTCAGACAGCTCAATTCTGTGCCCACGTCACCTGTGGAGAATAAACAATTGCTCTAACCAGAGGCACTGCACTGGGGGTCCTCCACCACCGACCAAGCCCCCTACCTGGCACTTTATGCTGATCAGGGGCTCCAGATTTTCTCCCTGAAGTTCTCTAGAAGTAACTCTCGGGGTGAACACATTTTACTCATCCTCCTGAGTTGTGAAGAGCAAGCCGATTGAGGATTGTCTTTTGGTTGCACCTGATTCTCATTCTCTCCCCCAGTAAAGTGTTGCAGAGCTCAGCATCCCACTTCACTCACGCTGTCTGGCAATTCTGCTCCTGACAAGCCCCATTTGGACCAAGCACCCTCATTACCTGGAGTAAGATGTAATCAGAAAATAGACATATGAATGTGTACCCCATGTATATTTGCCTGTGAAACTGAAGTCACCTGTCACTTCTGTTTTCCTGATCGTTGATTAGAGAAATGGATAATATTTAAAAATATATATGATTCTGTCTCTAAAATATTTGCATAATGTTCAAAATCACATTTTGGAAGTTTGAAAAGTTTAAAAACACAAAGATGCTTTTAAAGAAGCGTTTTATGATTTGTTTTTCTAAAATGCCCCCAAATTCATATTTGGTTTTCTGCTCTTTATTCCTTAGAAACTGTTGGCTTCCATAGGCCACACGAAGGCCACCTATTAAATGGTGGTGTTAGTCTAACATCTAAAACAAATTTCAAATCTGTTTAACTATGGCGTATTTGATCTAATTCTTTTATTTTAGTGCACTGATGGTTTCAAATCAAAAAAAAAAAAGGTGCACTAAGGAAATATGGACAAAGTCTGTTCGAGTGGCCCAAAGTGAATAAACCGTGACATGCGTTACCCGTGCAGTCGCTTATTTGGGGAATATGTCTGTGGGAATGGGGCGGGGCTCTGAAAAGGGGGTGCTGCCGTGTTCTTGACTGTTTTCCCATCATGTCTGTATTGTGCCGTAAACCCACATGCTGTGGTCAGTTCTCTTCGCCGCCGCAGGACTGAAAACGCAGACCAAGCCTGCTCTTAGAGCTATCAATTCTAAACATACTTGGGGCTAGTTGTTTCTACCGTGCCCCAGCGCCGCGGCCGGAGGACATGAGAAAGTCATCCGACTGCATCCGTGGGGTTGATAGGAATGGGGGGCGGAGGGGGGCAACCGGAGTTTTTCATGGCCGAATGGCCCCCCATCCCCAGGTAGTGCAATGCCCACGCGGCTTGCGCCTGCGCTCATGGACATTGCACTTTAAAAGAGAAGCGAAGGTAATTCTGAAGGCCAAGTTCAGCAAGAGGGTAACCGGAGAAAACAGCCACCGTGAAGAGGCTTTTGGCTGAGCAGGCACAGAAGTAATCAGAGCCGGTCAGCGGGATCAGGACAGAGGTGTGGCGGCCAGAGGAGCGAAGCCATGCACATAAAAAAATGACCTCTTCACACCTCTGACGAATGCTGGAGGGGCAAGCCCACCTGTTGACGTTGCATGGTTGAGGGATTAGCCCGGTTTTATTTTAGCAGCAGGAGAAGCCGGTGGAAAGCCAGAGTCCATCTGGGGAAGGGACTTTCCGTGACTGAAGGCACTCACCCAGCCAGCTCCCCGGGCCAGAGAAAGCAGCAGCCGCTTCCTTCATAGCTCCGAGCAGCCACCAGAATGTTCTGTGGGGTCACCAAACGTATGTGTCAGCGAACCCAGCAACATCCAGATGTTTCTCATTCTGGGAGATAGTGTCTCTTGGTAAAGCTTGGGAGAAAGGGAGAAACAAAGATAAACATTATTCATGGAAGGAACGGTGGAGTCTGAGAAAGATTCTGGAGTCTGATTTTAGACCAAATATGTTCACATGCTCGCTATGTGACCTGGGGCAAGTCGCTGGAGCTCTCTGATCCTCTCCTGTCACGTCCGCTATGTGAGGGAGACAGAAGTGGAGATGTGCAGAGCCCCGAGGGTAGTGTGGGGACAGAGGAGGGTGTCACGCACCCCGCCCCTCGTGAACCCCACAGAGGGGCAGCCTGTCCACCAGGCTGGCCTCTCTCTCCTCTAGGGGCTCTCCATTGACACCCGCTGTTCCGTTTCCTGTCCTCAGTTCCAGGAGGCCCAGAAGGACTTTGCGGGGGGGGGGCTCTTTGCCTTCAGAGATACTGTCCAGAGATATCAAACCTCCCAGCCCCGGGGCCCCCTTGCCCTTTATTGCTGCACGTCACTGCCTCTGGCCCTTAATACTCTTACTCCAACCCAGATGAAAAATCACTACCAAAGCTACAGCCAAGTGGAAAACACGCCTCTCTGTGTCACCCCTCATTACCACCATCTCTGCCCCGGGAATCTCCAAGAAACCTGGATTTTCTCCTTTCTCGAGTAGCAGTTCCTACCGTGGTTCAGGGAATGCCCTGTGCAAATATTCCCCCCACCCTCCCTGCCCCGTCACCAAATGGTCTGTGGGGAAAGCCTGGATGTTCAGCCCACATGAAGAGGGGCTTCGGCCTGTGGGAAACAGAACTGGTCCCAGAAAGAAGCAGGAGAAGCTCACCCAGGTTTTGAAATGACAATACCGCTGGTGAAACTAAGGAAAAGCATTATGAGTAAAGATATGATCTGCCTCTGCCTGAAGCAATGTAAAAGCCTTGTTTAGCATGATTCTGCCCAGTTTATGGTAGGTTTTTCGTGGTGGTTGTTAACGCTGTTTGGTGGAGACAGGATATGTGTGACTAGGTTTTAATGTCCCCTCAATATTAAAGCACCATCGTCAATGAGGTAAAGTGCCTGCTAAACCTTAGGCCTTAACACACATGAATTCAAATAAGCTTCGCAGGACTTGCAGATCAGCCTTCACCATGAGTTTCTAAAAGGGCCATAGTAATAGTTTTGCTTGGACGGGACTCCTCTGTGAGAAGAGACCCTACTCTGTGAACTCCAAGGGCGGACTTTTTAACAGGTTTCCTTCAAGTGTGGTCTTGCTGTTCTTATTGAAACACAAGGAAGACTAAATGGTTACCACTGTTCACATAGAATTACCCGTTGTTCTCCCAATCTCAGGGAAATGGACTCTACCCGCTTCCTAAATATCCCTAGAGTAGGAGATTTCATCATTTTCCCTGAACTTCAATTTTTAAAAAATTCCTTGGCTCTATCCTTTGTCCTTTTCATTACCTTAAAGTTTTTATCATCTCAGATTTACCCATCTCAATGGTGATGAAAAATAATTAACCACCATATTTTAACATAGAATAGCCTTGAAGTCGTATCACATCTCAGTCAAGGGCTAAATAAAGTCTAGGTGTTTTATCTCTTGTCCAGCACTATAGTTTTGATTTAAAAAATAAGAGATTCAAACTGTGAAAGATTTTCAAGTCAGGACAAAAGAAGTCTAACACCCAAGCCCACTATGGCTCGCTCTTGGGCCCTCCTCTGCCCTATCTTCCCACATTCTTTATGAATTAGGACCCTAAGTCATTTTTAAATGACTATCGAGGTATCCAAAACAACTCAAAAGCTCTCTATAACATTGCCATCACAGAAAAAAGTTGATTTGAATTTTATGATTTTTATTATGTTGCCTATCCAAGCCTTTCATAAGGCTCAGTACCCAATCCTAGGCAGGCCCCTTCAGGGAAGAGGACAAATTCAAACCTGAGGTTCATTCTGCTTCTCTCTCAACATAGGCACCTGATAAAGTAACCTAATTTTCAGGGGATCCATTTCTCTTTTAACCTCTCCTTCCTCTCCTATTCTCTGTCCACTTACATAGAATCTGAAATACTGCTTTGGCTAATAGTCAAGAAGTACATAAGCCAGGCTCTGTGAGGAGCTGGACGCAGCAGTGGGCAAAACACACAGTCTCTTCCATCACAGGGAAGAGTCACTTGTGGTCCAAAAGGGAAGATGGACATGAAGCACATCCTCACAATTTGTCAGTTATAAGTGGGCCAAGTGCTCCAACAAGAGAGTGGCCTTCTGAGAATCTTACCATTAGACACAAAGCAGAAAAAATTCCAAATAAGTATCAGCAATTTTTATCCCCAGATGTGAAGCCCTAAACTTGCTGCTGATACAACATAGCATCTCTCCTGCTTGAACTGACCATGTCCAATTTTTCATAAGGAAAATGAAAGTCCCAATTTTGATCTTAGCAGAGAACAGAGATCCAGAGAGAGAGAGTTGGAGTGGGGATCCTCTCAATCCATCCTCGAGGAAGCAAAAATTGCTCCAGCTCCCTAATTCTGAGGAACTGCAATGACCCATCCCTGCTGGAGGACAAGCAGGAGACTGAGCTTTTCCATCTGCCCTTTTAGTGGGGTCTTGCTGTTGGAAACCATTGTCTTCCCACCTCCAGCCCTAGAACATTAGAGTCGGCAGAACGGATCGTTAAAACAGCAAACATTTGTCATCGTGTATCGTATCAAGAGTTTTATATACATTACCATCTTTAATCCTGAACACCCCCCCACACACACACCCCACCCCCCACCCTACCCCCGTGAAGTAGGTGCTGTTACTACATTTGCCAGATGGGGAAACCGACACTTAAGTCACTGTTGACTAGATGAAGTGAATGGTGCAGAAACCTGGATTCACAGCCCAAAAGGAGTAGCTTAGGTAAAGAGACCAGAGAAAGGGAAGACCGATTGTGTTGTAAGGCAGGCTCTACTCTCATGTATGCATGTATCTATATGTGCAAACCACATAGCCTAGAATTATGTAACTATTGAACACATTAACAAAAAGAGAAGGTTTCAGCAAAATTCAGAAGATGTCTATCTCTTATATAACCCTGAATAACAATGAAACCTACCGTGCCTTGGGAAAGCCAACCGATAAAACCACGGCTTTGGATCACTTTGGCTCTCTTAAACTGGAACGGCTGGATTCATGGGAGGGCCGTTGCTTCAGTCTCTGAGTTTGTAACGTTAAAAACCAAAGTCCATTTTATAAATTCAGTGATCGTACTTGGCAAAGGGCTACAGGCCCACTGATCCATTTTAAATTAAAATACATGCAGCATAAGGTGTCAGGTTTCCACTGGAAGCCTGCTGGTTCAGAAACAAAATTAACAATGGAGCGAAATCACAGGAATGTAGAGGGTTTCTATTTCCTAAAAAACATTCACAGACTCAAAAAATCGCCAAGTCAAAAAGTCCTCCAAAGCTGCCTCTCAGACTGATCTATGCTGGTCCAATAGATCAGGCAGAATCCACCACTCCTGTCAGTGGCTGAACCATCTTCCGACGTGGGGACGGGACCCAGCTCTCCCCTCCTAGAAGAGAGTGGTTTCATCTCACCAAACAGGCTGAGGAACTAGCCTGCATTGAACTGGGGAATCAGAATTCTCCACTGGAAATACAATGATAGTAGTGGTAAATGTTTTTAAATGTGTCCTGAAATAAAACCAAAAAAGAACATGACTTAGTTTGAAACACTGATATACTGACCAATTTTCTTCTATCCTAAGCTGTCTGCTGGGCTTTTATATATATATTATTTATATTTAATGTGAATTTGCACGTTTGCCACTCAGCAGCATTTAAAAAAAAATGGGATTTAACCTAATTGAATCATGAGTTCCCAGAAAACTTCCCTGAAGCGGCAAGTTCTCCACCATCACAATTTGGCTTCAGCCTCTTTCCAAACCACAGATCTGAATATGATTAAGACAATGTACAAAAACAAAACCTGACCTGCCCAGCACAAACTTAGTTAAAGGCTGGATTTTCATTATCTTCCCCCAAATCTGTAGCTTACCAGATCGTGAGAACATCGGTGGCACATTGATAACCAGGGAACCAACCTACCAGACTTCTGAACTTAAGTAGGCAGCAAATTAGCATTATCTCCCTAATTTCTCACAGAAAGAAGAAG